GGCCCGAGTTGCACTCTCTTTTGTCGAATCGCTCTTCAAGACCAGTTCATATTTCTTTGAGCGTCTTAAATTTAGATAAAATTCCACTAATATTACTCTTTTAAGAGTTACGGACAAAAATGTAACCTGGTAACTTTTAGTTACTATAATTTTGTTCAAATTTACTATAATGTAGTGACCATGATGTAAACTTTGAACACGTTTATAATAACTATAAGTAACCAAGTCACATTTTTGTCCATGACTTTTGTATTAGTAATATTTTAGGAAAAACCTCTTAAATTTAACACTCTGCCGCAATTCGAGTTCCATATTGCTATTAAGCCATGCTTTTACCATGGCGTTTACACGTTGCCTATATGACAAATAGGGCGAGTCCTTTTCCAGCGCGCATGGTGATATCACTGTTAACAATTCCGAATTTATTTTTGGCATAGAGATCGTTGGTTATTTCATCAAATCAGCCTCCATAATTGCCATTTCGTGGGAGTGAAGTCATGAAAACATACATCTCCGAGTTTATCACCAGATTGGATAAAATATGGGGACATGAAATCAATGGTTATTGAGTCACCACTATAGCCGCCTCATCGTCAATGTTCATCTCGTTGGTTTATTCGAGTATGGCAGAATGTAGACTAACTAAATAAATAGTCACGATTTCGACTTTGATACCTAAATAAAATGATAATTGGAATAAACTATGAAATAATATGTTAGGAAGAAGAAAAGCTTGTGTTTTTCAGTCATGGGTTTACAATTTACATGGCAGACATGCTCAATTTATACATTAGTATGTGGAGAGTTGAGACAAAAAGGGAATATTTTGGAAAATGGAAACTAATAATCCAACATTTTAGCTATCTTCTTTTAATAGTCCGACCTTTTCGTTATTCATGAATAATCCAACCTTTGCACCTCATCTTTATTCATTGGTCCCCGACCAGTTGATGACTTGCTATTCCGAGTTATTTTCTTATCTCTGCAAACTATTATATCATAAATTCCACCTTTCACAAAGATAATATTTTGGAAAGATAAGAAAATAACTTGGAATAACAGGTCATCAACCGGCCAGGGACCAGTGAATGAAGATGAGGTGCAAAGGTTGGATTATTCATGAATAACGAAAAGGTCGGACTATTAAAAGAAGACCGCTAAAAGGTTGGATTATTAGTTTCCATTTTCCCGATAAAATAAACAAAGAAAGTACATGGAAAGCAAAACTAATGGGATGAGTATCCAATGCCTATCACGTAAAATCCTCCATCTGCCGCTTATTAGTTATTACGTATGGTGCATATCACATGCATACAGGTTTAGAAGGAATTGAAAATTATTCCGACATATTTTTAACTTTTAGATTGTGAATTGATAATTTATCCATCTTTCAAGTTCTGAATCAATAAATTTCATTATAAATATCACTATAAGAAAAGTAACATTCCATGACACACAAAATGTGTTAGAAAAGATGTCAAGATAGCCCCCTTGAGAGAAATGCCAATTAACATAAAGTGTCAAGAGGAAAGGTTTTAGAAAAATATTGCTTAACATTCAAGTCCAAGTGTTGGTGAGTCTCTAAGGACCTTTGGTGACACACAATCGACCTAAGTGTTACACAACGATATACTAAATCTCTAATTAGTTCCTTTGAGTTGATATATAGCTTCTTCCGGATGATGATGTACCATGTGTCAGAGAAATACAATATGAAATACGTACAATATGATCCACCCACACACCACATAATGAAAATTGCTTACTCACATTTAATTTCTAACTTGTTTATGCATATAAAATGTCATCAATGATAATTCTGGCAAACCAACTATTTTGCCAAATAATGGCCAAGGAACCTTTGTTGTTCATTTTTAGATGTAAGCTATACAAATTAATTAAGGATATTTCTGATATGGTAGAAGTCAAGAAACATTACATTATTATTATTACTATTATTATTCTTTAGGTAGCTTCTCAATTAGCATTTATCTCCTATAATTATTCATATTCTGCTTTAGGCTGCTTCTTAATTAGCATTTATCTCCTTTTATAATTATTACTATTCTACTTTAGGCCACTTCTTAGTTAGCATTTATTTCACTATGGGTTATTCGGAAACAAGTCTCTCTGTGCTTTAGTACAGGGATAAGACCGCGTATATCCGACCCCTCTACCGCACCGTAGGTGGGAGCCTTTGCGGCACTGGGATAATGCTAATGATGATGATGATTGACTTTTGTAAAAGCTATATAAGGGACATCAATATTATTCAATAAACAGCTTGGGAAGAATTAATTTTTTGTGTATTGACAAGGTCGGCCATAGATTAATTCTAGCTTAGGCTTATTTTATTATTCTCTTCTCATATTCTCTATTTCCTAGATCTAAAACGAGATCCCAACCACGCCCGTAACAATTTGATATCAGAGCCTTCACGTTCCTGTCCGATTCATCTTATTCCGCACCTTTTCAGTTTTATCACATTCCTACTCGGTTCAAATTTTCCCTGCCCTTTTTTCCTGTTCAGAATCCTTTAAAACGAAAAAAATATTGCTGGACCAGCACATCCAGTTCTTCGAGGAAGCAAAAAAAAATGCAGGTCAACGACGCCTCACTAGTGACAATACTCCAACATGGTGCAAATCGGTATATGCATAATGCATGGCCAAGGACGTTTGAGTAAAAATCTTCGTGAATTGAATGTCTCGATCTCTGAAACAACCAAAGCTCTCGCAACTGCTATGGAGGGTCTGACTGCTGCTACAAGGAAACTTGCTTCTGTCATTATTCTTCCTTCAATACAGACCTTTGAAACCGTTATGGAAGATCTTGGCTTTGTTACAAAGAGAGTTGCTTCAATCCAAACAGCCCCTCTGCGACGTACGTTTAGCCCTGTGTGGAAACAGTTATCCCGTGCAAACATGGCTGCAAGGCATGCTAAAGGTTTATGTTATAATTGTGACCAAGAATGGATGTGAGCCCAAAATCGCTGCAAACGTCTGTTTTACATAGAAATTTTAGATTCAGAAATTCCACCCTATACACCATCTCCTTTACTGCAGCCAATAACTCAGATGCCTCCGCCATCAGAGATGATTTTGCAACCCATAGTCTCTAGCTACCATCTCAATGGTTGTCACTAACCGAATTGTTTTCACTGAAAAAGCTGAGGCTTGAACTAGTACCACCCACACCTAAAACTGTATCTCAACAACTCTCATTGCCTCCACATCTACTAGTGGTGGACCCAGTTCGGGCCGCCCGGCCCGGGACCGGCCCGGCCCGGTTATCAGGTCCGGGTCCGGTTCGGGCACCGAACCGGTGGGAGAAACGGGTCCGGGCTCGGGTTCTGTTTTTGGTGGCCCGGCCCGGCCGGGTCGGGCCCGGGCCCGGGCCTAACGGTCATTTAAAAAAAAATGTTTTAATTTTAAAAAACACATTTAGGCTCAACAGCCACTTCCCAAACGGCTATATAGCCGTTGGGGGGTACCAGGGGGTCCAGGGCGTTTGGGGGGTGGGGTGGGGTGAGGGTGGGGTGGGGGTGGGGTGGGGGGTGGGGGTTAAAAAAAACCTATAAATACTTCTAATTTTAAACATTTTTTCACACCTCTTCTCCAACTCTCCCTAAATCCTACTCTCTACTCATCTCCAATTCTCCATATTCATCTTCTCAAATTCTCTTATTCTCCTTTATATTTTATTTTACTATTTAATACTTATACAATTATTATATCTACTTATATATTAATTATCTACTTATAAATACATATACTATATTACTTATATTTCTTATCTACTTAATCTCTACTTATATTTCTTAATACATACATACATACTACATCTACTTAATATATACTTTATATAATAAAGTATTAAATATACTTTATAAACTATTACTATATACTTACTACATAATAATATCTACTTCTCTACTTAATAATATCTATTTTATATATACTTATTTTATAATATCTACTTTTATATATACTTTATAATATCTATTTTATATATACTTATTTTCTTATTTTCCAATCTCCAATTCTCCATTATACTCTAATATTTAATTCTTATACAATTATTATATCCACTTAATACATACATTCTACATCTACTTAATATATACTTTATATATTAAAGTATAAAATATAAGTGTATTACTCATCTTATAGCAGTATACTTATATATTATATACTTATAAACATTATATTATATATTACTTACTATAACTAGTATTGTACTAGTTAATTAGTTAATTAGCATTCTTGTTACATTTATCATTATAATAGTTAATTAGTTCATTACCATTATTGTTACATTTTTCATTATACTAGTTAATTAGTTTATTAGCATTGTTGTTACATTTGTCATTATACTAGTTAATTAGTTAATTAGCATTGTTGTTACATTTTTCATTATACTAGTTATTTACTTCATTAGTATTCTCATTAATTGTTAAAACAACTCTACTTCAATAAACTAGTTAATTGTCATTAATTCATTATAGTTAAAGTCACATTTTCTTATTTTCAATTTATATTTGTAGGAAGAAATAGTAGTTCAATCATTTAATTAAAGTACTTAACATTTTATTTAAGTAGTTTTTACTAAATTAAAGTACTTCAAAAGTTGGTATAATTTTAATTTTAAAGTCACACATTAATTCTACTTTGCACTAAATTAGTTAGAAGTATTAATTAAAATAGTTTTAATTAGTTGCATTAGTTTTGTATCCATTATTATATTGGTTGTCAATTAATATCTGTTACATTTTTAAGATGAAAGGTGGTAGATATTCGGTTGATTTGGGTAACCTCCAACGCAATCGAAGGAACGAGATTGGGAGGAAGAAATCCCGCAAAGGTAAAGAACTTGCCGGTTCTTCATCTCAAAGCCGAGATGATTTTGAAACGGGTTACCAAAGGCGAGATGGAGATGCGATGTCCGAAGAACAACTCCAACAAGAATTGGCCCGACATAATAACCGCTTTCTACAACAACAACAAATGCCGACGACCATTGACGAAGAGGAGCTTGAGGATGAAGATGCGGAGGAATTGGAACCGGAGACGGCCGAGGAGGAGGGTGCCGGCAGCCACGACGCCGACGAGCCTGCCTCATCCCAAACCGCCACCGGTAATAAAAAAAGTAAGTCTGAACTACTGAAAAATAATTTTGATAAATGGAAGGACCCACAAACCGGCTATTGGCACGCAACTTGCAAGTGGTGCAACAACAATTATAGTTTGGGAACCTCCGGCGGATACGGATCCGCCGCAAGGCATCTTAAGGCAAAGCACCCCGTGGAGCATGCAAAATTAGGCGGCGGAACGGGGAAGCAAACTCAAATATCGAGGTTTGCGAATTCTCAACCTTTTGGTAATTTCTCCTACAATGATGCACAAAATTTGACTGGTATGGCTAACTTAATTTGTGAAGAAAATTTGCCTTATTTGTTTTCTGAAAGTCTTGCTTTAAGAGATTATGCACAAGGTAGTTTAAATCCTCAATTTAGAAATTATAGTCGCAAAACTGTTAAGAAAGAAATAATAAGGCTTTATAAGGCGGAAAAGGAAAGGTTACAAAATTTTTTTGCAAACTTTGATGGGCGTGTTACTATTTGTTCTGACATATGGGAGGATGATTTTCATCATTTATATTATTTGGGTCTGACTGCACATCATATTGATGAGGATTGGAATATGCATAAACGGTGTTCTTGCTTTTCGTGAATTTAATGATCGTCACACCGCTGAACATATTTATATTTTGATTGAGCGTATTTTAATTGAGTATAATTTGATTGATAAGGTGTTTGCTATTGGTTTCGATAATGCTACTAATAATACTGCTGCTATACCTAGATTGCGTGAGTTGTGTGGTGCCAATACTTTGATGGGTAGATTTTTTCATCAACGGTATGCATGCCATGTTATAAATTTATGTGTGCAAGACGGTTTAAAAGCGTTGTGATTATATGAAGGAAAAGTTTTTAAAATATTATGCGCATAATCCCCATATTTATGGTATTGCATTTATTCTCGATCCTCGTTATAGACTTGCTAATTTGGAAGATTGTTTCAACTTCTATTATCATGCGTTTTTTGGTGAATTTCCAATGTATGACGATAACCCCATAGATCCAAAAACGGAATACAACGAGATTAGTACTTTATTTTATGCCTTATTTAATGAGTTTCGTGCACAATATAGCAACGCTCCCCCTCCCCCGTCACGAACATCTTCACCTAAAGGAAAATCGATTTTTAAATCTGCATTTGGCAATCTTATGAAAAAAAAAAAACAAAAACAACTCACGTCAATGAACAAAGTGCATTGAATGAGATTACTTTGTATTTAACATATGAAGTTGATTTTGAAGAAAATGATGACTTTGACGTTCTAGACTGGTGGAAGTCAAAAGAAAGAACGTTCCTGATTTTAGCACGGATGGCTAAGCAAGTACTATCAATGCCGATTTCAACAGTTGCTGTGGAACAAGAATTTAGTTCGGCCAGCAACGTCCTAACGGTATCTAGATCGAGATTGAGCGCGGAGTCTCTTGAGACGCTTATATGCTACCACGATTGGTTGAAGGCCACACGTAGAACTCAAGAAATGAGCATCACCCCCTCCCAAGATTTTATGGATGACTCAACAACCGATGGTGGCTCTACCTATGCCGGAGATTCCGATTGATTAGTATTTTACAATTTATTATAAAATGTATTTTATAGCACTTGTCAAATTTATTTATACTTGTACTTCATATTTCAAAATTGTAAACTTGTACTTCATATTTCAAAATTGTAAATTTGTAGTTGTACTTCAAATTAATTTGTAAACTTGTACTTCATATTTCAAATAAATATGTGTTCACTTTTTCATATGTAGCACTTCTTAAATTAATTAATTGGTTACAAACTAACGACTTAAAATTATTTTTCTAAAATATAAAGCCGGTTTTTAAATTAAAAATACATTTACAATATGTAATTTGTTTAAATACTTATACACCTATTTTGTAGCATTTGTAAATTATAAATCAAACCACTTTTCTAAGTACAAATAGTTTTAGTTTTACTTAATTCATTAAATTAATTAATTTATTTTACATTATGTATAACTTAAAAAAAAAATTGAAATCAAACCTCCCAAACGGCTATATAGCCGTTGGGGCTATGGGTGGGGGGCAGGGGGGTTCCGGGGGTGGTGGTGTGGGGAGTGGGGTTCAAAAACATCTATAAATACATCTATTTTCTAACATTTTTCTACACCTCTTCTCCAATTCTTCTCCAACTCTTCTCCATCTTCATCTTCTCTTATTATCCTACATTCCTACTTATACATATACCATTTTAAATATGGAAAGTACATCTTCCCTTATGCAAAAGAATTTTGACAAGTGGAAGGACCCGAAGACCGGACTGTGGTGGGCAACTTGCAGGTGGTGCAAGAAAGAGTGTTGCTTGGGACGTTCATACGGATATGGGATGCCAATAAAACATATGAAGTCCTGTGACAAAGGGAAAACAACAACCAACGGTGGCGGAAATCCCAATTGATATTCATTAGAAAATGTATTTCGTATTGTTATTTTTTTCTCAATTCTCAAATGTAGTTCTTATTTCAAATAAATGCACTTGAACTTTGTTTTTAATAGGAATTTGTATAATATATAATTAATTAAAAAAAAAATACTGGCCCGGCCCGGCCCAGCGGGTGGCCCGACCCGTGACCCGGGCAGGTAGCCCGGCCCGAACCGGAACCGGCCATTGCCCGGGCCGGTCCCGGGCCTACCATTACAAGACCCGAGGCCCGACCGGGCCTTGACCCGGCCCGGGTCCATCACTAACATCTACCATATAAGTTGATACTAAATGCTTTGCCAAATCCGGTAGCCCAAAAGTTTCTGGTAATCTACCAGAAAAGATCTACAACTTTCCATTACACTTAAATCTCTGCAAGTATTTAAAGAATGAATGCCTTGGAGAATTGAAGAGGAAAAAGTGTCATGATGTTCTAGGAAATCAACTCATCAACCTTCACTTTATCACACATGGATGTTTCTTTCCCAATAATGCTGTTTGGTCGTGGAAAAGGTGGACACTACCGCCGGTTACTTCTCTTCAAGCTTGATGTCTAAGAGGGGAGTAATGATATGGGAGAAGAAGTCAAGAAACATTACATTATTATTATTACTATGTCTGCTTTAGGCAGCTTCTTAATTAGCATTTATCTCCTTCTATAGTTATTCATATTCTGCTTTAGGCGGCTTCTTAATTAGCATTTATCTCCTTTTATAATTATTCTTAGTTAGCATTTATTTCCTCTTAGGACTCTTGTAATAGCTATATAAGGGACATCAATATTATTCAATAAACAGTTTGGAAAGAATTAAATCTTTTGTGTCTTGACAAGCTCGGCCACAGATTAATTCTAGCTTAGGCTTATTTTATTATTCTCCTCTCATATTCTCTATTTCCTAGATCTAAAACGAGATCCCAACCACGCCCGTAACAATTTCATAGTTTTTTCTTTCTTCAATCAACATATAACTTTCAAAAACTTACAAAAACAAAAAAATGTTGCTACCTTTTTTTGTTAAAGTTAGATAGGTAAAATATTCCTTAAAGTGATTTTTTAATGTAATTCACTTTGCTTTTGAAAAAATATATATAAAAACAGCTCATCTTTTCACATCTTGGATTCTTATTCTGTGCCTAGGTTGTACCCTTTGATGGTCCACCAGATCACCCATGACTTGATTGTTTTTTCAATGGCTAGCTACTCTGGGGGAACAAGTGTTACGTTGGCCTGTTGGACTTGTTCCACTTTAAAAGGTCCAAATATTTGAACTTGAATGGAATGCATCATAGGTAAGGGCTCAAATACTTCACTAGATTACATCATTACAAATCAGTACAGAAGAATCATACTACATCTAATGAGTACAAAGACGTTTAGTTGAGTTTCAAATCTGTAGTGGCCAATAGTGGTGCCATACATGATACATGGTAATGGCATCAATTGTGAAAGAATTAAGAAGTTTTCAGTTAAATTACAAATAAATCTTTTATCTGTTTTTCCATCACTTCATGTAAGGATCTCACTTCCAACTCTTTGAACAGTGAATGTATGTTCAGTAGACTGAAGCCAACCTCTTGTAAGGATCACCAAATGCAGCAATATTCCCAGGTCTCGAGAATACCATCTACATAATGTTTGTATTTAGGTTGACAGAAGATGTTGGTAAACTTTGTCTAGCTTTATATGAAAAAAAAAGAAACACAGATAATTCACACATACCTGATAGTTTCCAAGTGTGCATGTTTGGAATCCAGCCGCGCAATAGTCGAAGTAATATTCCCAGGTCCGGATGAACTTCTGGTCAAATCCCAGATCAAGAATTTGCCTGCATGGCACAGTTTATATTAAAACATTGAAGTACTGATTTGTTTTTCCCATTTTACTCAAAGACCAATATGAAATCTTGATCATCTTACCTCTGTCTTTCAAGGAAGTTCTCTCTCCAACATCGGAGCGTCTTATAGTAATGAATTCCGATGTCTTCCAAATGCTCCACACTGTTGAGAGAATTCATTATATCATGTAACTATAGAGTATGTTCAAACAAAAACTTCTTTGTCTCTTTCATTTCGTTTTTGCTTTTATTTTTACCAGAGTCTTGATGAAGCAGCCATGGCTGATGTGACTCGGCTTAGAGAGGGTAGGCATCCTCCCGGGAATATGTATTCCTTGATGAAATCTGAGCTTTGCCTATATTCATCATACCTCTCATCTGGTATTGAAATAAACTACACAACAATAAACCCACAATTTACTTCTTTAGTTTAAAACAAAAATTCACAACACGATGTTACAGCACTGGTTTGAGTGGTTTCATAGAACAATTCACAAATATATTAAAATGTAAATCAACAGCCTGTTTCATAGAACAAATGTATTAAAATGCAAACCAACAGCCTTTTGGAAGGCCCTTTTCAGGTTATCTTGCTGACCATTTTTTTTTTGCCAACCATAGTTTTCTTGACTCCGCGTGCTTAATTGGGTTAATAATGGCAAAAGTTTAAGGTCAGAATTAATTTTCGATTGAAATGGCTGAAGTTAGTGAGTACTTCGTATTACTTTTAAAAAAAATCGCATACATTATTAATTTCACATATATTATTAAAATTTTAATATATTTTCAGTAGTTTCAGCCTCATCAATCATTTCTGTCCCATCTAACCTTACCAAACTGGCACATAAGGTCTTGGGCTAATCCTTAGGATAGTCTTTAGGTTCAATATTTCTAGGTTGAGTTGAAGCAAAGGTATTCTTTTTTCCCCTTTATGTGACTTAAGTACCTGCAGAACAAGAATACCATCTCTTGCCAAAGCAGATTCACAGTGACTAAAAAAGTCATTCATGAATTCGTGACCAACGGCTTCCAACATCTCACTGAAAATGATCATTTCTCGGGCCATCAGATGCACATGGCATTCAAACAAGAGAAACAACAAGTGCAAGGGAAGAACGTACCAAGATATGATTCTGTCATATTTTTTATATCCAGGCAATTGTCTATAATCACAAAGAAGAAACCTTATGCTATCCTGAAGGCCTGCTTCTCTAACTTTCACTTCTGCATATTTCAGTTGCTGCTCTGAGAGGGTAATGCCGGTATATTTGCAACCCGTCCTTTTCACAACTTCTATTGCTAAGCTTCCCCAACCACATCCTATCTCAAGAACGTGATGTCCTTTACAAATTTTTGCCTAAATGCATAGAAACAACGTCATATTTGTCTGAAATTCTAATTTTTTGAAGAATTTTTGAGTTGTACTATATTGGCTTTACCTTGTCAATCAGAAGGGAAATTTTTCGCTGCTGCGCCATTTTCAAGTCTTCATCTTCACTCTTCATTCCAAAAGTTGTGTCAAATATGTAAAAAGACCTCGAAGATAGATTGTGGGAAATAAAAAGTATTTATACCTTAAATATTGCACATGAGTATGTCATTGTTTCATCTAAAAAGAGAGAGAACAGTTCATTACTCTGCAAACAAACACAACTAATAATCGTCAGATTCTCATATCGTTCAGGGATTGTCGTTTAAAAAGGTTCAAGGCAAGAAATGCTTACAAGATCATAGTGACGAGAAATATTGCGTCTTGCTTGAGTAAGAGTGTTTTGCCTTGAAACATGGTGTCTAAAATATTTGGCAGATGCAACTGCAGATGTGAAAAGCAATGGTGTCCACCACCCCCTATATGAAATGAATTAAGCCAGATTTAATAAGGGTCTGTTTGGAAGTAAGGCTTTTGGAGGGTTTGGGGGGGTTATATCTTGATAAATACATTATTTCTAATAAATGATAAAAAACAATTGAGATGTTAGACGATCACATATCGTGTTAATCTTTCTTTTTCACAAAGTCTTAAAATTTTGGAATAATCTTGATGGAGGGTCTTGGAGAGCGTTGTCTCTATCTTGATAACTAAAACATTTTTAAAATGAATAGATGGTGAGTGGTGACTACAATATGACAAATAAAATTAATGCATTAACTTGTGTCTTATAATGTGTAGTGACTTCAGTGATATTTTTGCAGTTACTGTGGTGATCATGGCTATGTTTCATTGCAATATGGGAAAACCCCATGTATCATCACCCATTATAATT